CCTCTGCCACCGTCATACAGTCACCTGAACGACTACGCGGGCCATCGAAAGGAGGCAACCAGGTGTACCGCCCGTCTCTCCATCGCCGAAGAGAGAGCCGAGATCCCGCCCCGTCCGAGTTACGCCTCCCCCGAACCGCGGTGCGGACATTCCCCCGCGAACTATCCGTACCTTCCTCACTGTTCCGCGCGTTGTGCGGGACGTCCCAGTCTTGGCCAATTTGGAGGGAGGAGAAGAACTTGTCAGCCCCAGGCGCAAAGCCACACCCTCTCACGTGCCTCTTCTGCCCCACCCCGAGAAGTTGGGGCTTAGCTCGCGCTCCGTCCTGAGGTGTCCGTCTCCAAAACCTCGGCCAAACGGCGATGCCGTGGGCCCCGTAAAGCCACCACAGCCTCAGGTGGAGCACCCCAGCGGCTTACGTAGTCACGTGGTAGTGTGAAGAGACCAAGAGCCGCGCGCAAAAAGCCACACGCACGGTCCCCCCAGATCCCACCACGTGCTTCTGGCCTACGGGTCCGGGGGTGTGAGGACCAATGGAGCCAATCATTGTGTCCAATTACACCACTTCATCCCAAAGATGCCATAACCCTGAAGCTCCTTTGTAAGCCGGCCCCTCTTCGAGGTGGAGATGGTTCACTGGAACAAGTAGAAAATGAAATAAAATATTCGAATAAAATATTCGAATAAAATATTCGAATAAAATATTGAGGAAAAAAAGATACAACGTCTGAACAGTCAGCAAAAAAGGCCAAGATGCCACCGGGAAGACCCCGTTCCCACCTGCGGCCTTATTATGGAGTTGCACCCACAGTCCAGACTTTTGCTTTGCAAGCTGAGCATGTTGGAGAGTTCGCTCGCTGCACCTGATCCAATTGAGTGCATCGAAACTTCACTGTAATATGAACTACGAATAGCAGGCTTGCATTCGTCAGTCTACCGGTACTGTCATGTGAGTCGCATGGTTGTCTTGGGCAAAAGGCCAAGAGCCATCAATCCGTCCCATCCCTTTCCATTACCCCATCACCGAGTTGGAACCGAGATATTTTCGTCACCCCTCTACAAGAGTTGTGGATGTAAGTTGTACTAAGAAAAATTCATCTTTTTTTGTTCGCTTGAATTACCATAGAACAAGGCATCTACTGTTGTTTCTTCTTTAGCTGTCGCGTCCCCATAACGCACACCAAGCGTTAGTAATCCAGTCTGATCCAATGGGCTGGCCCAGATGACCGGCCTTCCGGAGGTGGTTCCGATGCGGACGAGATTCCGCGCTCCTGTCTCACCAACCATTCTGTTGCATTGTTGCCAAAAGCCTCAACACCCAACACCATATTTTAGCTCACATGCATCCACCGGCAGTCGGCAATCTCTTCCTTTGACGTGCCAGATCTGAAGCGGGGAATCGCATCGTCTCGACATCGGAAGAAGGGGCTTGGCATTATCGGATTGATAGTATCCTGCTTGAATACCTTGGATGGGTTGCGTTATAGAGTTCACATCCGGGAGTCGCAGCTATGCCAAGCAGGAGACGGGTTGGATGGAACTCGTCATATCTTTCCGGTTCTTATTATCGGCAACTGGACGGCGGGCCGCTTACAACCAACGGCATTAAGCACGGCCACATAGTTCGGAACGTTGACAAAGGGTTAATCGGATCCGGGACAGTCAAATCTGCCCTTCGAATACAGTTTTCCGATTGAGGGTGGCATTCAATATCTTCCCCTGCCGGTCTGCCATGTGTCAAGAAAGCAGCAAAAGGACAGTATGCTTTCTAGCCTTGCTGCGTTTTCCCAAATCTCGAAACTACCTCGGGCCTACTTTTCGCTCCTCTCGACGCTTGATACTCATCTCGGGCAGTCTAGATGCCGGGTCCAGAATCCCAACCACCACGTAAATGGTCTTCAACGAAGAACCCGGACATGCTAGGCCAGTCTAAATACCGAAAAAAGAAAGGAGGAGAGAATGTGGAGTTTCTTGGAGCCGTTCCTAACAATTGCTAATTAGATCTGGAAACCCTCCGCGGTGGCCAAGTTAGCACCCACGAAATCCACTCATTCCCGACCCCAATCCCAATGCCCTCTTCTCCAAATTTTGTCACGCAGGGAGAAGGGATGGGACGGAGGACTCGTGGACGTGAACCAGTGAACCCAGGGCCCAGAGCTTCATTGGAACTCGTTACGTCGCGGGCCTTGCGCGCACTCGCCGAACCGTCTCAACGAAACGCGCTCTCTCGTCTTTTTTTTTCTTTCTCCACAAAGGCGCCGAGTGCAGTGGCAGTGACGGACTCGGGGGTACTTACACGCACACCTTACAATGCCCTCCAACCACCAACCTCCTATTCTCCAGAATTTATCAAGTATTAAGATCTCTCCTCGCGCAAAAAAACCGGTACAGAACCACACCCTTTCAAGAAAAGAATCGGGGAAACCTAGCCCCGTCATGAATTATGAGCAGATTGCAATTACATGGGGTTTCCAGCTAGTAGTATACATCTGCCCACATCAAACTGCCGGAATGTGTAGAACCGTGTAGAGGTGGCGGGGGAAGCGGTTGCGGATCAAACACGATTAACCTAACGATTCCACACTACCAGCCGCATCATGCTCGCGTGGTATCTCTGAATAGAACGCGTTCGAGACCACTTCGACCACGTTGGGACTATTTCAATATCTAGAGCGGTGCACTTCACCCATCGACAATAATTACAGCGAACTTGACCGCGAAAACACTGCGACGCAACCGCAGTAGTGTCAAGACGGCCAAAAAAAAGCACGCCAATGCGCATAATGATGCGCCAGCCGGCAGAGTAGCATCGAAAAAAAAACGCTTCTAGTTTTCTAATTGGCGTTTCTTCTACGCTATTGAATTCGACTCAATTGAATAATGGGAAAACTCGTATCGAGAGAGTTCGGCGTGCGCGATATCGATAATTCGCCATCGTATCAGCAGCCAGCAAGTTAATTGAGTATTGTTCGTTTCCATGATTGGCACGCCGTACGTGTGGTGATGGCTGGGTGACTGCTGTATGCCCGCCTGTCTTCTAGATAGCTTCAGCACAGGCTTTTGCACATGTCAGCGGAAGATACGCCCGTCGTCGCCCCCGGATGCGTGACATCAAGGACGCAGCAGCTCTGACCCTTTCCTACCGGGACGATGAGATATGCAGTGGTCTGGGCTCATGCTCTGTTCAGCATCCCAGCGTTGACCTTTCGACGCCTGCCCAGTGCCATTCAATGCCTCTACACTTGTAAAGAGTACTTACACATCTCCCTCATTTCCATCAACAATCGAAACCCCGTTTCTCGTGACACAAGCCCCTTCACCAAAGAACCAATGCAATCGCAAGCCTTTGTTATCCTTTGCTTCCACCCCACAATCTCAAAACCAGATGTATCACCATAGAAATAAGGAAAAGGAAACCTGAATTAAACGCCTCCCTGCGGCCGGCCGCTCTTCCCCCTCACTCTCGCCAAGGGACAAAAACGCCACGATATTCTAGCCAGAGATATAGAACAGGGCAGACACGGAGCCGCGACAAAATGTAAGCCGCAAGGCTCATCCGCAGTATAGGGGGGGATTGAAGATAAAAAACCGGCAATGTGCCGGAGGTGCGCATACCCAAGTCAGGAGAAACAGACAAACCAAGACACATACACAAAAACGCACAGCGGCGTCCGGGCACCACCGCAGACTCAAGCCATGAAGCCTCCCAACGAATCCACGAACTGACGAAAAAGAACGATAAATAAAGCCCTGTCAGCAGATCTAGCGCAAGTCTCCCCCTCCTCTTCCTGAGTCTTACTTACTTACCCCTTGTGCGGCGACGGCGGCGGCGGCGGCGGCGGGCCCCTCCTCGAATTCCGCGGAATGCCGGGTGAGCAAGCCACGCGCCAAAATCCCCAAATCTCTTTTCCCTCAAATCCTCGGGGAATCAAGGAACGGGCATCAATACCTAGTAAGAAGGACGTAGATTGAAATCAGGTACTTCTCGTGAAGGAGCAGCAAGAGGATGAAGCCTAAGAGTATCGCAGCCTATTTCCCCGGATGGACCATCACACCATCAGAGAAGACATCAGACTGTCAATGTCGCAATCTTTCCCCGGACACCAAAAGGAAAAGAAAGATCCATCCGATAACGAAGGTACCCAGGGTCGGTATCCCACAATGCCAATGCCACTCGACAAAAAAGTCTTTTTTGCGCCCCGGGCACCCGCACAGAGTGGTCATCACAGAGTGACCAGGCGTTTACGCGTCTACAACTGTCTTCAAATATTTTTATTTCCTCCAAGTATTCCGTACTGGACTGCCGATAAGTGCGTGCGTGTGTGTCCGTACCTCTGGGAAAACATTTTGGGCTTCCTACAAACCACAAGCCAAGATCGACTCCTCCTCACCTGACAGCCTCAAACTCTATCGACCACCCCTCCTCTTCCTTCTCCCCATCCATACACTTATTCCCCCGCTCGCCCCCATCATAATCTAACCACGGCAACAACAAAATCACACACATGATCGAAACCAAGATCCAAACAAACACCAGATGAACAAAACTCTCTCAGGGGACAAAAAAAGCAGATCCATCTATCCCTCGGCAAACACTCCAGCTCGGCAAAGACCTGTGCTTCCTCACCAAACCCGGACCGGCTGGGGGGACAACATCAATGAACAATCACAGGCCAAATATTCCCCCCTCAGTGTAAAGACATCAAAAGTGAATCAGATTTTACCCAAACTGCGCAAAAAGTGATTTAACCCAGCATGTGGCAGTAAACCCCCTCCCCTGCCCCTTACATCCCTCCCCAATAAACATACAATGTAAACCTCGTACCTCGTCCGTACTCTGAACTGGTAGGTATCAAACCACTTTCACATGTCCACAAAACCCATCCCTCCCTCTCCGCAATCGCAAAAATGCCAAAGCAACAATGACTCTAGGATTGCAAAAAAAATCCAGCCCAATCTCAATGCGACTCTTCCTCGTCCTCTCCCCTTCCAATGTACCTCCCCTGGCGCAGCCCCTAGCGTAACCCGCCGTCGCCTTGGAATCCCCCCCATGTCAGCAATGGCCGAGCCCATGCGGTCTGTCTCGTCTGTCTTGTCTTCCCATCTCCTTAGTACTCCGTACTCCATAGATAGACTGATAATGCACAACACCGATAAACAGGCTCTGCTTCCGGTCCCCGGGGGCGCTCGTGATGGAGCGCAGCTCTAGCGTATCGGCCAGCGGTGAGCGCATGGGCCTTTCGTCTGCGCGTCTGCCATCAGTCAGCAGTAGCAGCATGTAGTCATCTGCCCGGTTGCGCAAGTCCATACAAATGCAAGGCGACGCCTGTGGTAGGTGTCACAAGGCACATTGAATTAAAAAAGAGTGAGTGAATGAATTGCAGTGTCACAGTAATGATGATGAGACGAATGTTTGATTGAATGGCCAACTTTTATTCATGTTTTTGCTAAACTCTTTTGACGATTTTGGGATTTTTTTTGGCTTCGTCGCAATGATCTTGCTTTTGTGGTCCATCTGCGCCGACCTTCTCGTGCGCTTTTTGTTTTTCAAACCAGCTTTTTTCAACCTCTTCTGCCCTTTCGGCCGTTCTCGTGGAACATCTCCACTTTTGGTGTTCCACCACCCGGTTTTTCTTCTCCTTCCTTTGTCTTGTCATCAGCATGCCCCAGTCAGTGTCAGGTCCTGCTGTTGAAGTCGCCTTCGGGCAATGCCTTCTGTAGATGTGTTTTCCCCTCCTGTTGGTCCTGTCCATAGAGTACAATCCACCTCTCCTTCACTACAAAACTTTCAATCAACCATGTAAATGCAGAGACCCAGACCCATTGATAAAACATGAAGGTGGTATGTTGCGAAAACAAAACAGACCATGGTATCGTGTGATGAAGAGACGCCGTGCAAATGTGTGAAAATTAGAATCAGGTCCAAAAGGCCCACCCCGAGGCCCAATGAATGCACCCGTGTCGTATCATGGGACTATCTAGTCCCAAATATGCGCGCCCATGATTATGGTACTATAATGAATGGCAGAGCCGATGCGATGCCGCCGCGCGCAATGCAGTGTAAAAGCAATCAGAAATAGCTGTGCTCGAGCGGGCTCAAAGGCCACACGCTCGTCGGATATTGTGATTATTGTGTGTGTTTTGTGTTGTGTGTGGCGCAGTAATGTAATAGCGATTTACCATCCCTTGGAGTGGTAGCCTCCAAAGTTGTCAGTGTCCTTGGAGAAGTACTGGGGGTTGACCGGGGCATCTCCGTTCTTGAGGCAAACCTTCTCGGGGTACTGCTTCAGGTTGGCGACGTCGTGGGAGGTATGCCGTCTCTTGAGGACAGCGTTGGCAGTAGACGACTTTTGCTGGCGCTCCCAGAGAAGGTTGCGGCGAAGAGACTCGGTCAACTCAGTCGCAAGCATGTTGCGACGGGTAGTGCGAGGAGAAAGAGCAGCTTGGAGATGGCTGTGGCTGGCTGTAGCATGGATAGGCTGGGCAGCCGAGCGAGGCACCTCGTTGATGGGCTTCAGGGGAGAAGAGCGATTGCCGCGCTTCATCATGAGAGGGGCATCGTCAGAGTCATTCGGAGAGACGGCCAAGGTAGGAGGAGCCGGGTGGCTAGTGCGCGACCATGGGAGTGCCGAAGTAGATTGGGAAGCAATGTTGCCAAGCTTGCTGGAGCGGTCGTTCTGCTCAGTCATCATGAGCGTAATCAATGAACGGCGCGAGGTCAAGTTGACCTTGGAGTCGACGCGCTGGAAGAAGGTCTTCTCATCAATGCTAGACTTGTTGCTGTCCTCGATGGAGTCTTCCCAGTCGGAAGAGTCGTCGTCGTCATCAATGGCGCTCTCGTCGACGTAGTCAGTCTCTGAGTCGTCGGCAATAGCAGAGTTGTCGTCGTTGATCATTCGGGTGGAGACGTGGTCGGCAAAGGAGGTCGTCTTCTTCTGACCGGTGAGCAGGGAGCCGGGTTGGGAGGCAAGGGCACTCTTGAGGGAGCTGTCCTCCTCGGAGGAGCCGCCGACCTGGAACATCTTGCGCTTCTGGACAGGAGCGGGAATGGGTCTGAGGTTCTCGATGCTGTGGCCTTGTTCACTCGAGGAGCAAGACTCGCCAATGGAGAACATGGGCTGCTTCTTGGACAGGATGGGCTTGGCTGCAGGTGATGACCTCGGCTCGGGAATGGCGGCGGGAGAGATGACCTTGGGAGAGGCAGGGATGGCTCTGGGGATCTGGGATGGAGAGAAGCCACGGACGACGGTAGTGCGAGAGGTGATTTCGGGTGAGGTCGGCTCTTGGGCGTGCTCTTCTTCCGATGACTTGCAAGGCGACTCGGTTGTAGTAGATCCAGAGTGCTCGTAGACGGGGGAGGCAGGGGCCAGGTCGGGGGTCTCCTTCATAGGAGGCATGTAAGGGGAGGCCATTTGCGGAAGAGGTGCAGACAAGGGCTCGTTCTCCTTGATGATGGAGACGACCATCTTCTCGAAGTCGCCGGAAGTGATGTGGCGTTCCTTGCCACGGCTGCGGTTGCTCGCGCAAGAGTCCTGTCTTTGAATTCTAGGGCGGATCTCGAGGGGTGCGGACAATGAAGTGAAGTCGACTGCCTCGTCATCATTTTCTGACTCGACACTGCCGGAGAGTTGAGGGATATCTTGTATTCTGCTGGCTTGGGGGATCTCTCTGGGCAAGCTGGTGGCGGTGATGGAGGCTTGTTCCTCCTCGGTGCAGCAGAATGTTTCACGGTTCCACAATCGCCAGCTGAGGTTTTCTAACCTGCGTCCCTGCTCAACAGACTCTGCGCATTTGGCAAAGACTGGAGGTGTGTTAGTAGGCGCGTAATGCGCGAGCTCCCTAGACGGAGCAGCCAGGTGCGAGATGCTTACCAGTCCACATGCTGTAGAGGTTCTGAGGATTTGAGGTGTCGACCTTGTTGATGACATTGGTGTCCACTGTCAGGACGTGCGTATCGAGAGGGTAAGGCATGGCGCCGAGATGGTCTGCTCGAATTGAGCAGCTGGCGGTCGTCGGTTCCGGATATAGGGTGGTGGTTGAGATTGAACAGACACCCAGCGTTGAGGGTGTATTGGGATTGAGTAGAGTAGGGCAGATTCGGCACCTGGAGCGAAGCGAGATGGATGTTGTCGAGATCAGATTTGTGGTCGCGCGTCGTGGTTTTGCGGGTGGCGGTCGATGATGTCGACAATGAAGTGATGGGCGCTATGTACGTCGGGGAAATGATGTCGCTGGAAGTGCTGATGCAGACGTCGAGGTGCGGAAGGGCGAAGACAGGAATGCTTTAATATGATGGCGTTTACGGGAGGGAATCCGGAGAATGCTGGCTCTGGATGTGCAGAGAGGTGTCACGTCGATGGTCGAGATGTGCTTCTGGTGGAGCAATGAAGTAAGAGGAGAAGGGAAGGGTGGAAAGTCTGGGGGAAGACGGACGTTAATAATTATCGTCAGCTCGAGTTTGACCAGAGAGAGTTGGAAGATGTGGATTAGATGGCAGCGGAGTGGGATGCATGTAAGTAAGTATAGGTAGATGTAATGTGCGATGGGCAATGGGAAGAGATGGGGACATTGGGGGGTGTTGGGACCGGGGGGAGTGGGTAGAAGGGGTGGGAGTACCTTGGGATTTTGGGGGGGCGTGGGATATGTTGATGTTGGCATGGGGGTGAGTCGCGGTGAGCAAAGTACGTATTTCCTCGCACCTCCCTCAGCATGGGACAAGAAGACAAGAGGGGAGGGAGGAGCGAGCAGGGGCCCCCGGCATGGGGCACCACCACCTGGTAAGAGGGAAAAAAAGAAGAAGGCACGAAGGAGAGGAAGGGAAAGAAGAGGGTGTGGGTGCTGAGGTGTGGGGGTGTGAGTGAGAATTGGGTGTGGAGAGGTGAGGTACGTACTGCGAAAAAAATGAGAGAAAGAGGAGAGACCTTGGGACCTGAGGCCTTGGGTAGGGACGACGGAAGTGTTGAAGCAAAAGTGGAGGTAACTCATGTATTCAGGTACAGGGCACAAAGTACCGCCGGTCGGTGGCTTTTCTCTTTTCCAGAGGGGAATGACCCCCTCCCCAAGACGAGCATCACAGGGAGTATCACTTCTTCTAGTTACCAGGTAGGTATTCGTGCGGATATACAGAGAGCATTCTGCGGTTGTATCTATCCCTCTGTTCTGGCGAGTGACGGACAGGCCTGTTCTTCTCTGCTGGTTCTCTCGGCTTGTGACGACGCTGAACCTCTTCTTCCCAGTGAGTGGGTGATTCAGAATCAGGTCTAGAGCAGAAAGAAAGACTCAACTCAGTCAACCTAAGTCAGTCATGTCAGTGTGTTCCATCCCAAGCAATGTCAGGGTGTCAGGGGTTCTGAACGACTCTTTGCGGCGGTATCTCGGTACGTAGCCGAATGTACAGACGCAAGACTCCACGAGACCACAGAACCAGAACGGAGAGAGAGCGCGCGGAACAGCAGTACCAGCACCCAGTAGCGCAGCCATCAAGCGCAGGACGGCAAGGCAGTCACGGGTGCGCAAGAGACCTTCTGGGACGGTCAACGACACAGGGATACGTACAAAGGGCACTCCAAGGGCCCAAGGGAAGGGGGTTGACGAGGTCCAGAAACTTGTCGTTCGGGGAAGTTCGGTACACTGCCTGGACGGGGCAAGGCGTGGTGGCTCCCCCCGGAGTTCGAGAGAGGGGGCCCAGGAACGTGAGCTGTCTTGACTCTTGACTTTTGCTCTGATGTACCCAGAGAGACTCCCAGAGAGACAGCAGCTCCCTTATTCTCCATCATGAACCAAGCCTAAAGAGGCATCATGAGGTAATTGCGCTAAACCCCATGCGGCAGCCCAACGCGCAATTTTGGGAGCGCGGGTGACCCAAGATACTTCCTCTTCAGGTATAGCTCGATATTTTTGAAACTTAGCCATTTTAGGCAGTACCTCAGTCCGTCGAGGCGGCAAACCGTCGACGGTCAGCTGTCCGCTCTCCCCCTCTCCGTTCCATCCCTCCACGTCTTCCAACTTCAGGAACGAAAACTTTCAATTGGGACCTGGGGCCTGGCCCAGCTCAGTCCGTTGGGCTCCACGTTCAGCTCCACGGACGCCTCGCCCACGGGACCGTTCGGGTCATGTGACGGGAGGCTTCTGGCCGTCTTCGTCGCGGCATCGCCAATCCAGGCCCATTAGATTGCCGCATTGCGTCCCGTCCGTCCGTCGGTTGTTTGGTCACCGTCAGCACCTCGGCCAATCCAGACCAAGCTACTCCGTAAGGGACATGCCAATTCAGTCTCCAATTCAGTCTCCGTCACGGTTCTGGATCTTTGGGGGCCACAGACAGAATCTTCGTACGTACGTTCAAAAGAAAAACGGAGACTCTTCCTGTGCGGAATACGGGGTTTCTGTCACCAATTCTCAGTGGCTAAGTCGTCTGGCCGAATATGCGCCGCGCCTCATCTCCACGTTTTCCATCGAAAAGTCTCCATCGGCCTCGTCTCGACCTCCAAAGACTCCTCCACAGGCAAAGGCTCCTCCGCAGAGTCCACACCTCGACCCCCGTCCGGTCCTCCGTCGCGCTTTTTCCGTCAACCGTCATTCGGTGCCTGACCGAAACACCCGTACACTGCCCAAAGAGGATAAGCCAAAGATCTATTACTCAAAGAGGCCTGGCGTACCTCCTGGATCTACCGTCCTGCCGGCAATGTTCCCCTTCTGGCACCCTCACAGACCGCGACGGCCTAGAACGAATGCAGCCTCGACAGCTCGCTGCCATTTACAGCGATTTCCGTCTGGTCGCTGGTCACGAGCCGCCGTGCCTCTTCCCGCCGAAACGGATCGCCGTCCAGCTCGAACCGTGAAGGCAACGTCCATCAACGCCCTGTCCCTGTCGGTCCCTGTCCAGCTGCTCACCTGCCCTGCGGCCTCGCTGCTCTTCTCCGAACCTGGGGAGCCACTGGAGGGGAAAAAGACTTGTCCTGCCAGAGGGAAAGGGTCCCTGACGACGGACTGACTCCTTGAGCTGAGAACGGCACAACGGAGGTGACAACGCACAACGAGACCACCAGAAGAAACGCTCGACTCGACTGGTTCGCCTGGTTCTCTGCTGTGCCCGTGACTTCGGACCAACCCAAACCGATGCTCTCTCAATCTCTGCTTTCGCGGCTTAGGTTGCCCAACCCTTCCGTCGGGACGACCGCCAATCGCTTCCCCGGAAACCCCCTTTTGAGTCTTGATGTTCACTCTACGAATACTGGGGCCAAACAGATGCCCGAGTTCCGAACGTTCCAATTTCCCCAGCATTCGTTCCCGTCCCTGAAGTCCGGATCACGAGTCGCAGGTGCCGCTGCAAATACAGTGCCCGTTAATTGGATTGCCATGGCATTGTCACCACGGGAACAGACTTGTCGCAGCTCCTCTTCCGCTTCGAGCATCTCCAAACCTACGGATACCACAGCCGCGAGGTCCCTCGGGACGAAATCCGGCCTGCTACACGGAAGGACAGGTTTAGGCGCAAGATTGAAGGGAGAACATCTTTCGGCAGCTCGCAGTGCCTGTCCGTGTCCACGAGACTATCTCTCATGGCGGCTGCATAGCCCTCGATAGTGTCGACTGCTCTATAGTGAGCTGGCACCAAAGCAGCTTGCTTGGGCCCGGACTCGCGACGGCGACAAGGTCAATTCGTCGTCGCCAAATTTGGTTGCGGACGAATCGGCGGCGGCCCGTCCTTGAGCGCTGACACGGCGATGTGACATGCTCTGACCCCCTCGCCGGCTTGCGACTTTGCTGCTTGACTGGTTGCGGCAGCGCGTCTGCGCTCGCCCCAAATCGACCCCGTGATGATGCCCATCACTTAGGTCATCAACAAATCCTGCCGCTTGTCGCCTGTCTGCCGCCTGCCCGCTGCCCGCCCACGAAGCTCAGCCCTCGTGAGGCGTCAGTAATGACAAGGGACGCAATAATAACAGTCGCTCTCAATGTTGATCGCAAGGAGGCATCCTATCTACAGACATGCACTTCAACCAAGCAGCAACTTGGAATCTGGCATCGATGATGAACTCAACCGCCCTGCTTGCTCATCGCCTCATTACCTACCCCGCGGTTGGTTGCCAGAATGTCATGGGATCCAGTGTTCATCAACGGGCTGGACAGGGGGTCGGGGGCAGCAACAGGCAGATGGGCGCTTTGTGGGCTCTCCCACGCCCCGGAATGAGTTGTTCTCCCTGCTCACGAGAGACGCTTATGCCAACTCAGAGGTCAGAAAGAAGAAGGCCAAGACGTATGCAGTCGGTGTCAGAAGGCATGGTTGAGACTGATCGATCCTGAGGGACCGACAGAAGCAGCATGCCAGACCTTCGTTAAACCTTCGAGGCTTTTTGGTTCCTGAACCAGGCGAGACATTCGTTCCCAAACTCTCAAGCCCCGGCATGGGTCAAGTGGTCACCAGGCCCCAAAAAGTGCCTCGTCACAGCGCCTGGGGGAACTTTGGACAGGCTGCAATTGGACCCTTGAAACGTCACCTTTCCCCCAATGCAGTTGCTGGAGCAGTTGCTAGAGGCTGATGTTCATCTCACCGTGTTGGTGGTCACTCGTCACTCATCTCGCAGTTCGTTTTTCTGCCACTGGACATCAACAAAGCCCTACAATTCAGAGTTTCAGGCTTTCAGGCTTTGCTAATGGTCCATGTGGTTTACTCATCGCGCAATGACCGCCGCTTGTTTGACAACTCACATTTTCAACTCTACGCGAAAAGCAACGTTTGTCGTTCGATTGGGACCTTGCTTGACAACAGCTTGGTCAAGTGACGGGTTGCCTCTGGAAGCCCAAGTCAAGCCCACGCCGGCACCCCACGTCTCGTTAGGTACCATGAAGCAAACACCGCAGCTTGGGGGGGCTGAAGCCACTGCCACTCTTTTCCTCTTTTCCCTCACCCCGAAGCCGCGCCACGCCTGGCATCACGGCGACCGTCAGCGCGGGATGCTAGTTCTGTGGGAGCACCCGTCCGTCCGTCACGGTTGGCGGAGCGGCCAGTACCCCTACTCTCCGTGGTCATCTGTTCACCCTTGGCCCAGGGTGACTGGAGGATTCTGGCTTGCCCATCTCGCTGTATCCTTGAAAGTTGAAGCCCGATGTGCACGGCACTTTGATACGGGTTTTCGGCGCCCTCATCGATGGGGAGCTCCGCCCTTGTCAAGCCCGAATTGACAATGGCAGAGCACAATATTATCTGCCAGGGGGCACTTGTCGTGAGCGCCGTCACCTTGGTGTTCGCTTCGCAGAAAACGGTCTCCGGGGGACCACGATATCGCTTCCGCGACCATCTAGCAGTCCCGAGGCCGTGGTAATCATACGTCGTGCGGAGCTAATGGGAAATGGACAGGCCCTACGATCCTGCTCCAACTCACCCCCGACAACGGACCGAGAGACAGAACGGAACCCGCGAGTAACATGATTGTGAGAAGACGCGAACATGGTGACGATCATACGAGGCAGGAGGGGAAAAAGGTATTGGCCCAGCCTTGCAAAGATATCGCTTGCGCATATGAAA